ACCTATCACCATGTTCTGGGTTCCAGCTCGTTTGACTAGAGGGGGGTGGGGTCCGATCTCTCAGCTATTTTCTTCCAAACCTTGCCTGCGTGTGTGTCTGGGAGGAGGCGGGGCTTGTGGGCTAAACCACAGAGAACACGCAGACTCCACACAGAAGGGCGCCTGCAGCTGGAATCCAGCCCAGCTCTTCCTACCTGACACATCAGTGCTGGTGCCAGTCACCTCGGTGCCCCTGTGGTGCCAGGTGAAGGGCAGGTTCAGAAAGCTAAAACAAATCTTACAAAGGGAACAGTACATCTGCCAGATCTTGTGCACACCAATGCTTCCTTCCTTTACCTCTTTTCAACCACCTATCTAGCTCCCATCTTGCTATCTCCCTTTTTCCCACCTCTCCACTGACTTGCCCTTCCCTCTCTCCCTCTCTTCCCTCTCTCCCAGATTCTGCCCGGCTGTTTCGTCAGCCCTGACCTCACTCCCTGACTCAGGCTGACAGCTTATATAATGCCTGATTGGTTGGGCACAGGGGGATCTTCCTTCATTTTAATGACTCATGTTAGACTACTGCACTTCAGCAAGAAGAAGGAAAGAAGCACCTTGAATTATTCATCCCCACTGCAGAGGAATTCGGACCCAAAGGAAGGACTTGGCACTATTTTTAGGTGTGTACGTACCGCAGTGCAATCTGGGAAGTGCAGTGAGGCAGCCCCAGGACCGCGCACATCAGGGAAACGGGTGTGTTGAGCTGGCAGCTTGTCTCCTGGAGAGCCCGGAGCTCCTGCTGACTCTGCTCCGCACCAGCACATTCACAGAATAGGAGAAGGATAAGGTGAGTATGACAGGCAGCTCAGGTTTAACACCGTCAGAGGGACAACACAGAAATCTTCAAGGACAATGAAAAATAACTTTCATTTGGTGAGGGGAGGGACCATCACCTAGCTGGTGATTGGCCCATCATGAGCTCCACCCAGCCAGCGATTGGCCCATCATGAGCTCCACCTGGCTGGTAATTGGCTAGATGTGACCTCCAACTGGTTAGCAATTGGCCATTCGAGACCTCAACCTGGCTCATTGTGACCTCCACCCAGCTGGTGATTGGCTCGTTGTCACTGTCACTCAGCTGGTGATTGGCTGAGATTGTTGGCCGTTGATCCAATGTTTGTTTTGCGGATCATGATTAGAGACACTAGCGCCAGGGGGCTCAGATGAGCTCCACTCCTGCATATTGTCTTCTTGTCTACAGCCCCAAGGAGAGCTGGAGGTCTGAGAGTTTCACAGCACCTTCTCTTTTGGCTGAAGCAGTGAGAAGATGAGTGGATGGTTTTCACAAGGCTGGCAGGCCCCTGGGCACCGGTCCCCATTCAGGCCACACATTAAAGTAATAATAATTCCTCATACTTATACAGTATAGCGTTTTTCTGGACACTCCACTCAAAGCGCTTCACAGGTAATAGGGATCCCCTCCACCACCATCAATGTGCAGCCAGAGTGGACCAGTACACTCACCACACACCAGCTCTTAGTGGGGAGGAGAACGGAGTGATGAAGCCAGTTCATAGATGGGGATTAGTAGGAGGCCATGATGGGTAAAGGCCAGGGGGAAATTTGGCCAGGACGCCAGGGTAACACTCCTACTCTTTTCGAGAAACGACCTGGGATTTTTATTACCAGAGTCAGGACCTCAGTTTTACATCTCATCTGAAGGACGGTGCCTTTTTACAGTACAGTGTCCAGACTGGTGAGCCCCCAAGCAGAGCCGCAGGGAGGTGCCCACAAATCTGATCACCGCCTGGGGGGGGGTGCAACTGAGAGCCAGGTCCGCCGAGCGAGTTTATCAGCGTCAGAGGTGTAACTGAGTGTTCTCTGCCACAGTGGAGGAATTCTAGCCCGGGCCCAGAGGACAATCAGAGCTTTCGCCTCTTCCGGAGATGACAGGATGTGGAGGGGTCTGAAGCTGGGAAACGGGGGGTGGCGTTTCACTGTCACATATTATAAATCTGAAGGACACTGTTCCCAGAACGCAAGAGACCATCGTCGTCTGACCTTTTAACTGCTGGGCGGAGAGGTGGCTCTGTAGCTAAGGATCTGCACCTGTGGCTGGGAGGTTGCCAGTTCAAATCCCACAGCCGGCAGTAGAATCCTACTCCGTTGGGCCCCTGAGCAAGGCCCTTAACCCCAACTGCTCCAGGGGTGCTGTATAAATGGCTGACCCTGCTCTCTGACCCCCAGCTTCTCTCCCTGTCTGTGTGTAATGGCCAATAAAGTGATCTTATCTTCTTTAAACTGACAGTAAAGCACTTTAAGATGCTACTTTTACTTTTAAAGCCAGTATATAAAATAACGTTGCTGTTTATTAGTGGTAGTAGTAGCGAATTGAAGGGGTCTGCATGGTAGCCATCTTCACCATTTCCTCCTTTTTCTGCAGCAATCCTGAAACTCACACGCAAGGCGGAGGGGAATTAAAACCAACGGACTTACTGTACCTTCACTCTCTTGCTCCTCCGGCCTGGCAGACCGCTGAGCGCCACGCTCGGGCACGACCCCCTCAGGAGCACTAAAACTCAGTCGCTGGCCTTTTCTTCGGCTCCTCGACTCCAGACGTCGCCCGGGGCTCGCTTCGCTTTATATGCAAATCGCTCCGGCCCAGCCGCAGAACTCCACGTTAAAGAGCCGAAGCCCAGCAAGCCGGAAACAACCTGAGACTGATCCGTTGTGAAACAGCAGCCTCCCAGAGTCGGGGTGTCAGCGAGCTCCTGCGCGGGGGCTGGGCGTTTTCTGGGAATCGCAGCCGACGGCCCGCGGCTCCGCTTCCCCTGGGAACTCGGGAGGGATTCACGGAGTCTGGGACCAGGAGCCGGGGAGACGAAAAGAAGGAGAAGGTAGAGGTGAAAGGTCAGGATCCCCCTTTCTGATTCCGCCACCTCAGCGCCATGCGTGGTCTTCCTTTAAAAAAAAACCCGCCTCGCTTTCTCTCTCAGACACGGGCGTCCCCGGTTAGATGAAGTGTCCTCAAGGACACCGACACAGTCAAACCTGAGGGCTTCCTCAGAGTCAACAGAGAAACCAGAACCAGAGCAGCATTTAACACCGAGAACAGGAAGCACGTCTTTACACAAAGGGTGGTGGGAGTGTGGAACAAACTGCCGAGCCAGGTTGGTGAAGCGGTTACTCTGGCTTCCTTCCAAGAATCAGCTAGATGAGATCTTACAGTCAGGCCAGGAGGCACTTCTTTACACTAAGGGTGATGGGAGTGTGGAACAAGCTGCCTAATGCCAAAATGCTGGCTTCTTTACAAGGAATAGCTCCAGTAGATAAGATCCTCAGATCAATGAGCCAACTGCCAAACAGATAAGAGGGACAAATGGTCTCCTCTCGTGTATAACCTTTATAATAGTTTTATTCTTTATGGACATACAGTACTAAAGTCCTTACCAGTAGCCTGCAGGATAACCAGAAGGCTCACCAGCAGCCTGCAAGAATGATGTATCCCTGGTCCTTGTACAGGAAAAAACTCCCTGTAGGGTTCTGCAAATTGTTTAAAGGAATCAGTGGGGATTTGGGTCCTTAAATCCTAGAGGATTTCAGTATGCCTTGCAGGAATTCATAAGGCATTTTGTGTGTGGCTGGGATTAGGAGGAAGCCGGTGAGTGGGATACAGGCTGGTAATAAACAGATGCAGAAACACCTGCAGACCCACAGCAGCAGATGTGCTACAAGTCAGAGAGTAACAGCTCTTTCAGCAACCAGCTCCTGCAGGAAAATCCCATTTGTTTGACATCTTTATCCAAGAAGACAGCAGCATCACTGCCCTGTAATCTGTCCTGGTCTCAGCTGGAGCTGGTGGACCAGTAGGTGGCGCTCCTCCTCCCCCAAACCCCCAATATGGTGACAGAGCACACCATATTGAGCTGTAGGAGGCGCTGGTCTTCAGATGAGACATTAAACCGAGGTCCTGACTGTTTGGTCAGTGCAGATCCC